TCGCCCGGCGGCTGCGAGCGGAGCGAGAGCGAAACGGGCAGCGCCCGCCCCCCGCGGCACCGGCCCGCCTCCCTCGGCACCGGCACCGGCACCGGGAACGGCCCAGCCTCCCTCGGCACCGGCACCGGCACCGGCTACAGCCCAGCCTCCCTCGGCACCGGGAACGGCACCGGGAACGGCACCGGGAGCAGCCCAGCCTCCCTCGGCACCGGCACCGGGAACGGCACCGGGAGCAGCCCAGCCTCCCTCGGCACCGGGAACGGGAACAGCCCAGCCTTCCTCCCCCGGTACCGGGAACAGCCCAGCCTTCCTCCCCCGGTACCGGGAACAGCCCAGCCTCCTCCGGCACCGGGAACGGGAACAGCCCAGCCTCCCTCGGCACCGGCAACGGCACCGGGAACAGCCCAGCCTTCCTCTCCCGGTACCGGGAACAGCCCAGCCTTCCTCTCCCGGTACCGGGTACAGCCCAGCCTTCCCCGGCACCAGGAACGGCACCGTCAACGGCAACGGCTCCGGGTATAGCCCAGCCTCTCCTGGCACCGGGGATTGCACCGGGAACAGCACGGGGAACGGCATCGGGAACGGCCCTGACACGATACCAGTACAGAACTGGGAACGGCACCGGGAACAGCCCAGCCTGCCCCGGCACGGAACCGGGAACAGCCCTGACACGGCACCGGTACAGAACCGGGGATGGCACCGGTACAGAACCGGGGATAGCACCGGGAGCGGCCCAGCCGCCCGCAGCACCGGCACGGCGCTGACACGGACCGGACCCGCCTCCCGCAGTACCGGGTACAGCCCCCGGTACGGCCCAGACACGGCTCCGGTACGGCCCAGACACGGCTCCGGTACGGCCCAGACACGGCTCCGGTCCGCCGCCCGTACAGCGGCACAGAACCGGACCGGCTGCCGTACACCGGCCACGGAACTGACACGGAACTGACCCAAACCCCGCACACCGGACACGGCCCTGACCCAAACCCCGCACACCGGACACGGCCCTGACCCAAACCCCAAACACCGGACACAGTTCTGACCCAAATCCCGCACACCGGACACGGTTCTGACCCCCCCCGGTCCCCCCCGGCTGCCCCGGGTTCGTGACCCGGGCGTGTCCCCTCTGCTCCGATCCGTGGGTTCTGCCCGGCTGGGAAGGACCCAGAGATGACAGAATCGGGATCCTCAGGAATCCTGGAGAGAGCTTTGGGATCAGCTCAGCACCCCCAAAACCGCAGCACCCCAAAACCGCAGCAACCAGAACCAGAACCCAGAACCAGAATCAGAACCAGGCACCCCTTGGGCACCTTCAGGGATGAGCACCCCATCCCATCACCTCCCTGGGCAGCCATGCCAAAGCCTGGGCACTCCAGAAAAAAAAAAAAAAAAAAATCAGATTTTCCAATATCTGATTGGAATCTGCCCTGTCTGAACTTCCCGGGCAGCCATTCCAAAGCCTGGGCACTCCAGAAAAAAAAAAAAAAAAACAGATTTTCCAATATCTGATTGGAATCTGCCCTGTCTGAACTTCCTGGGCAGCCATTCCAAAGCCATTGCAATATCCAGTCACCATTTCCAGGGAGAAAATGTTGCCTGTTCCTCGTATTTGGGTGAGGATGGCTCAGGAGGTGCTCAGGACAGGCGTGGCTCAGGGCTGAGCTGGCTGTGACACCGGCTCAGGTGGATTGTGACAGCCCTGGTCGTGTCAGGGAGGAATTTTTTTACCATGAGAGTGTTAAAACAATGTCAAAGATTGCCCAGAGAGCTTTGGCTGGAAATATTCCTATCCCTGGAAGCATTAAAGGTCAGCCTGAGCAAACTGGCCTGGTGGAAGGTGACCCTGCTGCTGGCAGAGCAGGATTTAAAGCTGAATTTAAACTGATTTAAGCTGAATTTAAACTTTTTCCAATCCAAACCATTCCAGGATTTCCAGGCAGGATTGCAGCAGTGCAATTCCATAACCACCAGCAGCAGCAGCATTGGCATCAATCCTGTCCCTCCTTCATCTAGTTTTTAATTGTCCATAGGCTAATTTTTCATAGTTTTTAATTTTCCATAGGCAGTGGATTTTTAATTTTCCATAGGCAGTGGATTTTTAATTTTCCATAGGCAGCAGCCACGGGATAAATCTGCAGGAAGCACCCGGGCAAGGAGCACATCTGGGTTTGTGGCTGAGCTGAACTGCATTGCCACAGGACAGGCAACAAAATGTGGAGTGGCTTAATGAGGTTAATTAATCCTGATCTTCCACCCACCGAGCACCCACAGACACAACAGCAGCAACCACAGCGCTCACGGATGGTTTTAGGTGAACTCTCTGTGAACTGACAGAAGGGCTCGGAGTGGAAACCCCATGTTTTGAGGAAATCCAACATCCAAACTAAAGCCACGAGTGGAACAACAGGCCCGGGGTGTCAGAATCCATGGCAAGGAACCCTCACTCGGCCGTGAGTGATGAAATGAGATTTTAATGATAATTTTGTACCCAAAAATCACCTCCAGACCAAGTTCTTGTTTCCATCTGAGTTCCCAGAGGTGAGAGAAAGGCCTGAGGTGGAAATCTCACATATAAAGAAAATTCTATGTAATATAGGCCTAAACTAAAGCCATGAGTGAAACAACAGGCCCAGGGTGTCCAAATCCATGGCAGATGTCACAAGGACATCATGAGTGGTGAAATGAGATGTTTAATGACATTTTTGTACCCAAAATTCACCTCCAGACCAGGCTCTCGTTTCCATCTGAGTTCCCAGAAGTGAGAGAAATGGAAACTTCCTGAAAGAGAAATTGTCTGAAGTGAAAAATCCCATGTTTCAAGAAAATCCAACATCTAAACTAAAGCCACGAAACAACAGGCCCAGGGTGTCCGAATCCATGGCAGATGTCACAAGGACATCACGAGTGGTGAAATGAGATTTTAATGCCATTTTTGTACCCAAATTACAGCCAAAATTCATCTCCAGACCAAGTTCTTGTTTCCATCCGAGTTCCCAGAGGTGAGAGAAAGGCCTGAGGTGGAAATCCCACATATAAAGAAAATTCTATGTAATACAGGCCCGAACTAAAGCCATGAGTGAAACAACAGGCCCAGGGTGTCAGAATCCATGGCAGAGGTCACAAGGAGCCCCCGCTCAGCCATGAGTGATGAAATGAGGTGAAATGAGACTTTTCATGCCCTTTTTGTACCCAAATTACAGCCAAAATTCACCTCTAGACCAGGCTCTTGTACCCACACCTTGATTTGTCGGCCACAACCAAGAGTGAGAGCAAAAATCTTTGTTTGTATTTCTTGGGTCCTGTGCCGGGGATTGTTGTGTCTGAGCACAATGGGAAAGCTGCAGCTCACACTGGAGTTTACAGAGTTCTACACCAAAGAACGGCAGGATTATAAATATATGAATATAAAAGCAAAAATCCTAAGGCATCACCAGCAGGGATGGCTGCACAAGGCCAGGGATTAGAAATCCCTTTCCTCTCCAAAGCTGGGATTCATCACTTTCATTGGAACAGTCTGGCTGCCATTGTGTGGCCTGAACGCTGCATTTTGCCATTCAAATCCCATCCCAGACTTGCATGAGGGGGATTTTTCTGCTTTACCCATGAGCTGGGTGCCTGCTTGTGCTGCTTTGAGGTTCTTGCCCATCCAGATATTGCAGTTCAGTGTTTTAGAAAGAGTTTTAAATACAGATTACAGGCATTGAGAACATCTGCAGCCTTTGTGTTCTACCATGATCTTGGTTTATTTTTGTCCCTGGAGCAGTTTTTTTCCCCTCAGCTGTCATTTACACATCTTTCCAGGCTGAACTAGATGGATTGGGATTGCCTGGAACGCCTGTGCTGGCAGGATTTGGGTTGGAAGGGACCTGAAAAATC